GCACATAGGATCTGCCCTCTCTCTGAGCCTGTGCTCACAGTGGGGAGTGACTGTCTACAGAAACACCAGCCAGAGCGCCTGTGTGGAAGGAATACCTGCCAAGACTTCTTCCCCATCTTGTGGCACAGGCATGAAAGGTCTTGGTTCTAGAAGGTTTCCAGCTTGATTTCTCTATACATTGCAACCAAGGTATGTGGTGTTTTTAGCAACAGTCTTACCAATTATTTCCAGTGGGCAACCAGGAAGAATGGTAAGAGCCTGTCTGGTTTGGAGGCCTCTGGAGCTTCCCTGACCAACTCATAATGAGGTATCTTTAACCTGACCCTGAGGTTTTTGTTTAGTAACTCTGGGCTTTCGGGAACAGCATCACCCAGAAACACTCCCCGGTAACTCTCTCCCTCTCAACTTACATTTTTAAATTGGCTTACACAGTAGTAAGTTTCCATATTGCTTTTTCATATAATTTTAGTTTTGCTCAATCCTCCTTCCCTCTTCCTCTGCCTCCCCAATCCCTGCCTAAGCTCTCTCCCCCTCTTTTTACAGCATCTATGTTCTGTTTTTCTGTCTACTTTAAGACATCTCACCCCAGTGGCCCCTCCCCAACTTCTTTACTTCTACAGGTACTTCAGGTTAGCACACAAATCTAAAGATCCATGTATGAAAGAGAACACATAGTGTTTATCTATTGAGTATTTTATCTATATATATCTATAGAGATAATAGTGTTTATCTGTTTGCTCCATGTAATTTTTCTAGCTCCATCCATTTACCTGAAAATTTCCTGCTTTCATTTTTCTTTACAGTTGTGTAAAATTCCATTGTGTCTATGTGCCACATTTTTGTCATTCATCAACTGATGAGGATGCAGCTTGTTTCATTTTCGGGCTGTTGTGAAGAAAGCAGCAATGAAATGCTTGAGCAAGTATCTCTGTAGTAGGATAGAGAGTTCTTTGGGTATATGCCCAGGAGTGGTGTAGTTAGATCAAGTAGTATAACTGCTTCTAGTGTTTGAGGAAACTCCATACTGATTTCCACAGAGGCTATACAAATTTCAGCTCCAAAACAAACAAACAAACAAAGGTTCCTCTTTCCGAATGTTTCACTAGCATTTGTCATCTTTACTTTCTTGATGATAGTCATTCTGACTGGGATAAGTCAGAATCTCAAAGCAGTTTTAATTTGACGACTAATGATGTGGGTGGGATACCTCAAAAGTGTTCTTTAGATATCTGTGTTTGCTTTGAGAACTCTCTTCAGAGCTGTGGTCCACTTTTTGATTGACTTGGTTTTCTTAATGTTTTGTTTTATGTGCTCTTTGTATAATCTGGTATTAATCCTCTGTAAGAGATAGAGTTGTCAAACATTTTCTCCCATTCTGTGGGCTGCCTCTTCTCTTAACCGATGGTCTGCTTTGTTGTACAGAAGCTTTTTAGTTTCATGAGATCCCATTTCTCAGCTGTTGGTCTCTATGTTGATGTGTACTTCCTATTTTCTCCTCTGGCAGTTCCAGGGCATCAGGCCTTACATTGAGGTCCTTGATCTGTTTGGAGTTGAGTTTTGTGTAGGGTGTGAAGAAAGATGTAGTTTCATTCTTCTCTGTGGTCATAGCCAGTTTCCCCAGCACCATTTGTTGAAGATGTTGTCTTTTCTCTGCTGTGTATTTTTTTTAGCTTTGTCAATCATTAAATGTCTGTAGGAGTGTGGGTCCTCAATTATATTACATTGATCAGTTCGTCTCTTTTTGTGTTGGCACCACACTGTTTTTATTACCATGTCTCTGCAGTATAACTTGAAATCAGGCATGGCATTATTTCTAGCAATATTCTTTTTTTGTTCAGTATAGTTTTTGACCACCCTTGGTATTTATGCTTTCAAATAGGTTTTAAGATTTTTTTTTTGCTATTTCTATGAAGAATGGTCCTGGAATTTTGGTTGGGGTTGCATGGAAATGTAGATTGCTTTTTTGGCAAGATGGCTGTGTTCATATTAATTCTTCCAATATGAGCATAGGCAATCCTTCTCTTTCCTGGTGTCCTTCACAATATGTTCATTTGTTTGTCCCTTCCTTCCTTTCCTTTTTTCTTTTTTCCTTCCTTCCTTTTCTTTGTGTGTGTGTGTGTGTGTGTGTGTGTGTGTGTGTGTGTGTGTTATATGAGCACATGTGTGAGGGTGTACATACCTAGTACATGCATGCAGAGGCCAGAGGAGGGCATAGAGTCTCTTCTCCTGCTCTCCACTTTAGTTTTGGAGAGCCTGTCTCTCAGTGACCCTGATGCTTACCATTTTGGATAGGTGTGCTGGGCAGCTGAGCTCTTAGGATCCACGTGTCTCCATCCATCCCTCAGTGCTGCAGCATGTGTAGCCATGCCTGGCTTTTACATGGGTGTTGGGGATTCTAACTCAGGTCCTCTTGCTTGCACAGTAAGTGTTCTTACCCACTGAGCCATCTCATGGCTTTCTACTTTCATTTGTCTGGGCTCCTTGGTTAGTCTTCCAAGGTCTTCCAAGGTCACCCATGGTCCACTTGCCACCCACCTTATGAAGATTTAAAAGCCCTCCACATTCAGATTGAAGCTCATGTTATTCCCTGAACAACACCAGGCTTACCAGCTTTCAGAAAAATTTCCATACTCTTTTTCTACCTGGAATACCCTTGTCCCAGTTCTTGCATCCCCACATTCTGTTTGTATGAAAAATTAAGAACAGAAAACAAAACAAAGAAGCCCAGAGTATGCCACACAGCTGCAATCCTAGCATTAGAAGACTGCTGGAGAAAAGCCATGGATTTGAAGCTGGAACTACATAGGAAGTCCTAAGGCAGCCTCACTCTATGACAGGACTGGCTTGACAAACACACACAAACACCACTGCAATGGGCACATAAGTAAACAGATGTTGATTAGCTTGATTTAATCATTCCATGCTCTATCACATTGTACCCCACAAATGTACACAACTATGATTTGTCTAGTAAAACCAATTAAAACCCCAATGCCTCTTTTAGTTCACCAGGCTCAGGCAGAATTAACCTATCCTTTCTTTCTGAGTGAGGTTTGTATCTCAGCTAAGAGGAACATTTGTGTCTAATCTGTATTTGTATCCCTCAGCCTCTCCCAAAGCTCCATCCGTATCAGAACACATCACCACACACATGGATTTCTCTGCACCTGTATCCATCCCTCGGCCTCTCCCGAAGCTCCATCCGTATCAGAACACATCACTATACACATGGATTTCTCTGCACCTGTATCCATCCCTCGGCCTCTCCCGAAGCTCCATCCGTATCAAAACACATCACCACACACATGGATTTCTCTGCACCTGTATCCATCCCTCGGCCTCTCCCAAAGCTCCATCCGTATCAGAACACATCACCACACACATGGATTTCTCTGCACCTGTATCCATCCCTCGGCCTCTCCCGAAGCTCCATCCATATCAGAACACATCACCACACACATGGATTTCTCTGCACCTGTATCCATCCCTCGGCCTCTCCCAAAGCTCCATCCGTATCAGAACACATCACCACACACATGGATTTCTCTGCACCTGTATCCATCCCTCGGCCTCTCCCGAAGCTCCATCCATATCAGAACACATCACCACACACATGGATTTCTCTGCACCTGTATCCATCCCTCGGCCTCTCCCAAATCTCCATCCGTATCAGAACACATCACCACACACATGGATTTCTCTGCACCTGTATCCATCCCTCGGCCTCTCCCGAAGCTCCATCCATATCAGAACACATCACCACACACATGGATTTCTCTGCACCTGTATCCATCCCTCGGCCTCTCCCAAAGCTCCATCCGTATCAGAACACATCACCACACACATGGATTTCTCTGCACCTGTATCCATCCCTCGGCCTCTCCCGAAGCTCCATCCATATCAGAACACATCACCACACACATGGATTTCTCTGCACCTGTATCCATCCCTCGGCCTCTCCCAAATCTCCATCCGTATCAGAACACATCACCACACACATGGATTTCTCTGCACCTGTATCCATCCCTCGGCCTCTCCCAAAGCTCCATCCGTATCAGAACACATCACCACACACATGGATTTCTCTGCACCTGTATCCATCCCTCGGCCTCTCCCAAATCTCCATCCGTATCAGAACACATCACCACACACATGGATTTCTCTGCACCTGTATCCATCCCTCGGCCTCTCCCAAATCTCCATCCGTATCAGAACACATCACCACACACATGGATTTCTCTGCACCTGTATCCATCCCTCGGCCTCTCCCAAAGCTCCATCCGTATCAGAACACATCACCACACACATGGATTTCTCTGCACCTGTATCCATCCCTCGGCCTCTCCCGAAGCTCCATCCATATCAGAACACATCACCACACACATGGATTTCTCTGCACCTGTATCCATCCCTCGGCCTCTCCCAAATCTCCATCCGTATCAGAACACATCACCACACACATGGATTTCTCTGCACCTGTATCCATCCCTCGGCCTCTCCCAAAGCTCCATCCGTATCAGAACACATCACCACACACATGGATTTCTCTGCACCTGTATCCATCCCTCAGCCTCTCCCGAAGCTCCATCCATATCAGAACACATCACCACACACATGGATTTCTCTGCACCTGTATCCATCCCTCGGCCTCTCCCAAAGCTCCATCTGTATGAGAACACATCACCACACACATGGATTTCTCTGCACCTGCATCCATCCCTCGGCCTCTCCCGAAGCTCCATCCATATCAGAACACATCACTACACACATGGATTTCTCTTCACTTGTATCCCTAGGCCTCTCCCAAAGCTCCATCCGTAACAGAACACATCACCACATGCATGGATTTCTCTGCACCTGTATCCCTCGGCCTCTCCCGGAGCTCCATCCGTATCAGAACACATCACCACACACATGGATTTCTCTGCACCTGTATCCCTTGGCCTCCCCCAAAGCCCCATCCGTAACAGAACACATCACCACACGCATGGATTTCTCACCTGCCACTTGGCAGTTAATTGTCACATTCACTCCTCGCACTGTTCTGATGGTGCCACCGATATCCACCGTGATTGCAGGCTTCTCTGTGTTGAGCACAGTCATTCGAGACGTTTTCACTAGTGGCTTTCCTGGAGAGGAGAAAGAAAGGGAGCTGTCACTAACAGTATCGTGGGCTGGGACACTGAATCACTGGGAGACCAATAGAGGACACATGCTCTGCTCAGGCATACCCCACACCATGCTTTGCCTGGGAAAAAATCTGGAACCCATTACCTGTCCACTCATGTGCCTACCACAGATTTAACAGGAAAAGAATAAGGTTGAAGAGTTTGAAGATATGAACATGGTGCCCAAGTGAAGATAACATACACTTTCCATCAATATAAAATATAAAAGACAAATTTTAAGGGTTTCATTTGTACTTTGGGACAGTTCTACAGTCACATGCAGTTGTAAGAAGTAACACAGAGCAGTCCCGTGTAACTTGTATCCAGTTTTCCCATAATGCAACCACATTACAAAACTACAGCACAGTTTCATGGTCTCAGTGTGGACATTCACATGGTTAAGTCACAGAATGTCTGCCCCTCTAAGCATCCCTCATGATATCTATAACCCCTCCTAGGTTCTTTGGCCACTGTTCATATGGCTTTTGTTCCCTTGCTTTTGGCATCTGAAGAGTGTTGTGTAAATGGAATCGCACAGTTGGTAACTTTTCACGTTTGGTTCCCTGCCAGCTCTCTGAGCTCTCTAGAGATTCTTCCAGCTCTTACATCAGATTATGGTTGCATTTTTCAGTGGTGTGGTCCTTTTTATTGCAGAGTAGTATTCTGTGACATGGGAAAAACCACAGTTTGTGTAGCTGTTCAGCTGCTGTAGGATATCTGGGTTGTTTCCAGATTTTTGATACAGCTGTTATAAACACTCTGGTACAGGTAGCTGTGGGGACATCTGTCTTCATTTTGTTGGCATAAATGTGAAGGAATGCAGTTTAAATGTCATATGGCAGTCCCCTCTCCCTCCCTCCTTAATACTTTTTATTTCTTTCATCTGATAGCTGCACAGTGGCATCTTATTGTGGTTTAAGTTGCATTTCCCTAACGACCAACGCTGTGGACTATCTCTCATGTGCTTATTTAACACATACACATTCTTTGGTGAAATATCTATTCATGTCATTGAGAATTTAGAAATTATTAGCCAGAAGTTTAATAAGTAGTAGCATTAAAACAGAAAAAAAATATTAGAGCTGCAGGTTTGAATTTCTTTTCAATGCTTGAGCTCTCTGCCCTGTAAGACCATGTGTTCCAACTACTGGCAGCCAGACCTAGTGAAGGAATTGTCTCCCAAGCATCATGCTGGAGCAGCTTACTCTTCATATTTAATGCCCTGTTTAGCAGGAGAGGCAAGAGCAGAAGTCTTTAGAACTAATTCTTTTTTCCTCCCTCTTTTTCAATAGAGGGTAAAGGCTTCTTTATAAGATATGGATTATCATCAAAATGTTCCTTTGGGTGAATATTTGAAAGGTGACTCTGAGTCAATGGCATTCTTTATTGTCTTCGTGTGACTTAGTTTTGTTGCATTGTAGAAAGAGGCAGAATGTGTGGACTTTATCACATACAGTGATGCTGCATAGCCACACCTAGCCCCCTCCCTTCCTGGTTGGTATACAAATTCCTTCTGAGTGCCTCACATCCTTCCTGGGGTTTGGGCTGTGCACTGAGGCATGGCATAGGCCCATGCATGCTCCGTAGTAGCTTCCTCATCCACATGGATTTTTCTCTTACTACTAGGGATGAAGGCTTTGCCTAGATTTGTTTTTCTTTTCCCATCATATGCTGTCCCCTCCCCTTGGTTCAGATTTATATAGCTGTCAACTTTAAGAATCCTTGTCAACTGAAAATAACTGGTCTGGAGATTTGACATTTCTTCAAGTCCCCTAGATGGCATCTATTTCTACTTGCTGCCTCATTAAAGGGTCAATTGTACTGTCACATGGTCATCACCCCAGTAATATATCCCATCTCATCAGAGGCCAACTCTCTCCATATCCATTTCCCCCTTCTTTCTACAGCAGTGGTTTTCAATCTTCCCAAGGTTGTGACCCTTTAATACAGTTCCTCATGCTGTGGTGACCCCTCAGCCATAAAACTATTTTTGTTGCTGCTTCATAACTGTGATTTTGCTACTGTTATGAATCATAGTGTAAATAGGGGCTTGCCAAAGGGGTCTCCACCCACAGGTTGAGAACCACTGCTCTAGAGGCATGGTTGCTTTCTATGGTGGTCATTTCAAAAGGTTCCCCAGCCCTGCTTCTTTTATGGCTAAATTCTAAAAGCATTCACACATTGACCAGCTGCTTTGCACACCCCTTTCTCCAGGTAAATCTTGCTGGAAGTGGGAAAATGGAGACTTAAAAAAGCACAATGTGGGCTCCAGGGAGCTTAGAATCAAGCAGACAAACAATAATTATAACACAAGTGGACTATGGCGAGTTCCCTTCAAAGAGTTTGGATAAAAGAAGGGAGAAGGGCAGAAAACTGAGTTGATATAAACATTATTTACGATTAAGGAAAGGAATCTCAGAGAGGCAGGTACCTAAGGAACACCCTGTGTCCAGAAGGATCAAGTCACTTCCCTGAAGTGCACTGGATCCCACAGCTGAGATAAAATGATTTCTGCTGTAGTTGGGGTGCCCTCTGCTGCAGAAGGGATAGGCATAGAACGAGCTGGAAGCCTCAGCCCCAAGTGTCATGCTCTATTTGAGTATTTTGTAATTGGATTACTTATTTTGTCATTGATTCTTTTCATTTTTAAACATTAAAAATCCCGCAATGCATATTACAAAGCTAAATCCTAATCCCCAAGACAGGCTTATCAGCAGGTTTTCTGGCAGCAAGCACCAGCAGGCACCAGGACCTCCAGACCCTTGGGATTGTCAGCAAAGCTACCAACAGGGGCTGGACATCTGGGACCAGGATGACTCTAATCTCCTCTTACAATGCCTCCTCTGCATATTTCTAGGGATAGGCCACCAAGGCTTTTGAGATGAACAGCCCAATAGCATAAACCTGGGCCACATGACTGCCATCTTCACATGAACCTGGGTGTCCTTGCCCAGAAGTAGAGCTCATTCTGGTAACTTTTATTGCAGTGAGCGTGGCTGATCCTCTCCAGGGAATGTCCACGTACCTTGGTGAGGTGATCTTCCCATTTCCAGTGTGACATATCTGTGGCTGTCTTCTTGTATCTAAAATCCTGCCGCCACTACCTATTTTACTGTTGAATCTTAAGAGGTCTTTATAGTTTAGATACAGTCCTTCATCAACACGTGCTCTGTAAATTCTCATCCAATCTGTGGCTTTTCTTTTCTCCTTAACAGGCCCTTTCATAGACCTAAGTGTTTTTTAACTTTGATAATATCCAATTTATCATTTTTATGGGTTATGCTTTTTATATCAAGTCTAGGAACTACTTATATAGATCTAAATTCTGAACAGATACTTTCCTATAATTTTTTTCCTACAAGTTTTATGGTTTAAGTTTTACATTCAGCTTAGTGATACATTAATTTTTTTCTATTTATATATTATTTTATTGTCTTCAAGCTTTATTTTTTATATCAGGAAACCAATTATTTATTGATTTTAAAATTTGGAGTTCCCAATTGATTTTAAAATAACTTATTACCATTTTTCAAAGTTAAACTTTTGGGATTCCATTAAACATCAAGGTAAAAAAAAATGCACTGGGTAAAAATAGCTATTTAACACCAGCCTACAGAATGGGAAAAGATATTCACCAACCCCACATCTGACAGAAGGCCAATCTCAAAAATATATAAAGAACTCCAGAAACTAGACATCAAAACACCAAATAATCCAATTTAAAAATTAGGTACAGATCTAAACAGAATTCTCAACAGAAGAATCTCAAGTGGCCAAGATACACTTAAAGAATTGTTCAACATATTTAGCCATCAGGGAAATGCAAGTCAAAATGACCCTGTGATACCATCTTATATCTGTTAGAATGGCTAAGATCAAAAACACTAATGACAGCTTATGTTGGAGAGGATATGGAGTAAGGGGAACACTCCTCCACTGCTGATTGGAGTGCAAATTTACACAGCCACTTTGGAAATCAATTTGGCAGTTTCTCAGAAAATTGGGGAACAATCTACCTCAAGACCCAGCTATACAAATCTTGGGCATATACCAAATGATTCACAATCATACTACAAAAGCACCTGCTCAACTATGTTCATAGCAGTGTTATTCATAATAGCCAGAACCTGGAAACAACCTAGATGCCTGTCAACCAAATTATGGATAAAGAAAATGTGGTACATTTACACAATAGAGTATTATTTCTCAACTGTTAAAAATAACATCATGAAATTTGCAAGCAAATGGCTGGAACTAGAAAAGAGTGAAGTAACCTAGACCCAGAAAGACAAACATGATATATACTCACTCATAAGCAGATATTAGGTGTAAAGTAAAGGATAACCAGGCTGTAATCCATGGGCCCAAAGAGGGATGCATAGATTTCTCTGGGAAGGGGAAATAGAAGAGATCTCTTGGGTAAATTGGGGTGGGGCCAGTGATGGGAACATGAGAGATCAGGTTGGGTGGGTTGGGAGTGGGATGGAGGGGGAGAATAATGAAAGAGATGTCTTGATGGGGAGTGCATTTCTGGGTTAGGGAGAAACCTGGTGTCAGGGAAATTGCCAGGAATCCACAAGGATGACCCCAGCTAAGACTCCTAGCAATAGTGGAGAGGGTGCCTGAACTGGCCATCTCCTGTAAACAAATTGGTGACTACCCTAATTGTCATCAGAGAGCCTTTATCCAGTAACTGATGGAAGCAGATGCAGAGCTCCACAACCAAGCACTGGGCTGAGTTCAGGGAGTCCTGTTGAGAGGAAGGAGAGATTGTGCAAGCCAAGGAAGGTCAAGGTCAAAATGGAAGGAACCCACAGAGACAGCTGACCTGAGCTCCTGGGAGCTCACTGACTCTGGACCAACAGCTGGGGAGCCTGCATGGGACTGACCTAGACCCTCTGCATGTGTGGGACAGTTGTGTAGCCTGGTCTGTTGGTGGGGCTCCTAGCAGTGGGAGCACG